AGTACTCCGTAAGCCTTTCAGCGTTTAACTTGGCTTCTAATGACTTGCAGGCCTACTGTGGTTTCAGCGATCAGCTTGCCCCCTACCGGTGCCTGCCCAAGGTTGTAGTCAGTGGTAACTGGGGTTGCGGCATTTTTAAAGGCGACAAGGAGCTTAAATGTAAGTGTAGCGTGGCCCAGTGTTTGCCTTTTAAATTTCTCCATACCTTGAATGTGCACTAGGCTAGTCGCTACTGAGCGCTCACCTGCTGGCTGTGCTATCCTGGACATGTAGCTTTCTCCAATCCATAATTTATCCCCCAAATTGTTTTGCTTCTGCGCAGGTCTGATTCAACTGATGGCTTGTGCACAGGCAGGAAAATCCCTGGCCTACTGCACCTTCTGCAACGAGGCGTTCGCTGCGGATGCTCTTGAGGTCTTTCAGCGTCTCTGTTCCAGCGGTTGCACCGTGGGTACGTCGACATTCTGCTTGTAGTCGGTGAACTGCACCTCCTTCTAATCACGAATACCTCTGCTTTTTCCACTGAAGTTTAATTAGTGGTTAGTACTTGGGGGATTATTACAAGATGCATTCATCTAGTAATAAAGCAGATATCGAATTTCAGCAGATTTAGTGTGACCAATGTAAGAATGCGACTCGCTGGCGATCAGTCCAAGGTCACTCAGTTGTGGTGCTTTTGCCAACCAATCCTCAACGGCGGTGTAGACTTGTGAGAATACTCTGGATTATGTAGTAGTGATCAATTGTCAAATGGTTTTAGATCTGTGTTTTTTTAGGTCAATTGTGGGGAATCCTGTCCAGAGTGAATCCTGAAAGTTATGCACCTCGACTGCCAAGCGTCTTCCAGATTGTGCTGGCAGAACTTCCCGATGGAGCTACGGGTTGCTAGCATCGGCGATGCTAGAAGAATCGCTTCCTTTACCCCTTATATATTTTTTTAATCTGTGACACCTCAATGCGTGCCGTTTCTGACCACTTAACACCGATATTAACTGCTTAACTAATTTAAGGGTAGTTGTTGCAACCGCAGCGTAGTCGTTTGTGGAATGTACATCGTCAACAAGTTTGCATGTGTGGATTAGGAATGGCCAAAACCTCTATTTATTAAAGTTATGGAAGTTAATGAGGCTGTGCTACTTCAATTTAGTCGACAACTTTTAAGTAAAGCAACTACACAGGGTAATAAATTAATTGGAAGAACAGTGGTGCGTGGTGTGCGTAGTGAGCCAACTTAGTACGATGAAGCATTCCATAATTTCACATACGCGGACAAACTGTGCTGAAGGTATTTAAGCGTTATCTGCGTCACGATGTTTGTACAAATACAGGCAATGCAGTCGGAATTAACACATGCATGAATGTGTATCAATTTAAGCACCTCAATTGGCTTCAGAAGACAGTGAATGGAGTACTCACCAGTACAATAGCAATGCCTGTTTGTATTCCAGTGATACCTCTCCGAAACTGCACATAATGCCTTCAACTCGCAAGTGGTGCAACAGAGCAGGACATGTAATCATTGGGTGTTCGGATGGGTAAATGCCACTTGAGGTTGTGCTGCAATGTTTTAAGTAATTTGTAGTATTAGGAAGCAGCAGGAGTTAAACCTGGTTCCACGATATTATTCCAAATATCGTGTCGCAATTGATACCGCGAATGTCTTTTTCGTCCTTGCTGGCTTGCCGAAAGATGCTCAACAGCAGCTAAGATAAGTGCTTTGTCTGAGGACGACAACATGGACAGTGACTGGTTACGGTGGGTGTACTTGGATTGTCAATTTGTCGATATGTTTGCCGTAGCGAGTACCACTCATTGCCTCCAAAACCATCAGATACCTTTGTAAAAATGCATCGGCCGAAAACCCAACCAGTTGATTTTTAACAGATGCGACATTGGCGAAAAGAATTTAAGCTGGCGCCAGTGAACCAAACTGCACAAAACAAACCAAGCTGCAAGACTCATTGAAACACTCTAACGACAAACGATACTAACAACAAACTGCACGTGCCAACGACTAGCTGCTCCCGCTCAAATCGTATTTTTAATTCAACAAAAAAGCATTCCTAGAATACAAAAGAGCATAAAATTAAAACAAAAGACAAAGTAGAACGTTTGGTCGTCTTGTTTTTGGTAATGTTGGATGTTAAGATGCCGCTTTCGAACTGTCCATCATAAACGTACAGTGTGTGTATGTGAAATGTCCGTAAACCCGAGTCAAATCAACCGAAAGAAGAGGCGTGCATAGTGATTAAGATTGAGATGACAGCATGCAACATGATTAGTTCTGACGCGCAAACACCAGATGCAAAATTGCAAGGCATATTGGCATTGTCAGCCGAATCTCGTCATTACAATTTTGAATGTGTGCACGTATGTGCGTGTGTCCATTAAAACGCCTTACGAATGACATCCCAGACGACGAAAATGGGCCTACCGAAGAACGGTGTGGGGTTGGGCTGGAAGCCTGTTGAAATATGGGGTCATGGGACCTGTCGGTTTCTGACGCAACCGTTTGTAGAATGTTTAAATCGTAGATGGAAATTGTCCGTTGGTGACATGTTTCCAACTTGACATTTTGTGTCATAAAAGAAAGCAATTCGGTCAGTAGTGGCCAAATGGTGAACTGCAGTTGTACACGTCGAGTAATCGCAAGTGGAAGAAGGCACAAACGATGAGGTGTTTCGTTGTTGACGTCGTAACTTCATGAGGTCTCAAACGGTCTTTGTACGAGTAACTGCCAACTTTTGGACCAGTTTGTGAATACACACCAACAATGTGTGTATGAAAAACGCATCCAGTGGGACACATGTAAGCTTATCTCACGACTTGTCCTTTAATTTGATGCAAATTCGTTTTTTTCCGATATTGAAACAATCCATCTGACTGCCTGATATTGTCGTATAGGCATGATTCTACCCAATTTCGTTTGTGTTCCAATCGGATATGGGCGTTTTAAAAAACCAAGGCAACTTGAAAAGTGTAATGTATTTTACTACTCATATCGTTTTACGCAGTGCTGATTGTTCAATGGCGATTTGGTAATGTGTGATTATTACTGCTCAGGATGTAGGTTCTGTTTAGAATTACCGGTGCATTACTAAGTCAAGTTGTAGCACATACAGTACTCAGCATGAGGGCAGTTTCTAGGCTAATGTGAAAAGCTGCTGGTGAATTTTACGTGTTCCCATGAATTTGTGTAGATGTGGTGGTATGCATACTTTTTCGTGTTTTGATTTCGGATCGCATGCAACAGCAGAAAATCGATCATCGCCGATTCGTAGACATGATTGACCTTCATAGGTAAATTCAATACTGGCGGTCGACGCGAAAGCACTTGTGCATTTAGTAAAACAAAAGACTTATTTACCTTTCAACAATGTGACATTGGTAGTTCTGTTTTGCCGATCAAAAAGGCATCTCCTCCATCATCAAAGTTGCCAGGAACTGAGAAAGTTAACATTCTGTCAGAAATGTGGGATGGTGTCATCTCAGTTATCGGATGCTTCGCAGAAGTCTGTGTGTTGTCAGTTATGCAACACCGTTTTTAAGATTGGTTTGAGGCGTGAATCATGCTGAGTGATTAATATCAGGAATAGCGATCATGGGTGAGAACAGTCGATGGTAACGTTTTTAACAATTACGCCAATCGTGATGTACTAGTCGTGTTGCATGCCTCCAGTAAAGGGAATGTTTGGGAGAAAATCTGACGCTTGCACATCCTTACCTCTCTGTGATCTCGTTTTGGTAATCACCATTAATCTTACGCATTTCAAATGTGCAAATATCTGTTACCTAGTTTTAGACAAGTTGTTATTGTGTGAAATCATGTGCCACAAGTGGAGCTTTGACTAAAATTAGGCGAAATATTGACAGCATTTGTGGGAAATTGTTTTAATTTACTTACTGGTCATTCAAAATACCACTGCAATGTCCTTGAATGAAAAATCGGCAGTCAGAACTAACTCCCAAGGCTTAAAAACAGACGATTGCATTACCTGCGGTCTTAAATTGGGTGAGATTGTAGTGGTTTCTTTAAAAATCTGATGGATACAACTCCAGACTCCTCTGGACTGTGCCAACTTGTTCACATTTCCACTTGTGGTAGGCTCGTTAGGTACTCAGCCGATCGAATTTAGGCTCTCATTAAAATTTTTTCCTCAAAAATATAGCTCGAAGTGCTAATTTGACTGAATCCGAGTTTGCCGCTGTTTAAGCAGATTCCCAAAGTTGAAATATGAAGTTCGCTCTACATTCCATCCACTTATAATTATGGTCACTTAAATAAGGATATTGCTCAGGGCGATTTCCGTAGTGCCATTTCACACCGTTTCATCTACTGCTGTCGATTCACTAAAGCTTCAACCTTGAGGTTAAAACTGGCATTCCAGGCTGTTATTGACATCACCAGAGGCGGAATTCACCAAAAACTCGTTTAGTGTTTTTGTCCAGCCCCCATGAAGCTAAGAAGTCGATCAACAGTGAGGGGATGTCTGTCAGTTTGTATCACGTCATTGGGTATCCACAATTGATCCCAGAGATGGACGAATGAACGGTACAAAGTGGTACCGCATTGGATCATGCACACTTGTTGTAACCGAATTGTGTGTGTTTCAGTTCTATGTGATGTCTTTGTAAGTACGGTAATATATCGATTTGGAGGTGAGGTTAGGTGGATAACGATAACAGTGCCTAGTATGCGCGTGCTCCTGTAGAGACGAATAAGGGCGCAGACATATTGGACCACGCTGGCCTCAGCCAATCCTCCGTCACTCAGCGTACCAATGGCATGCGAAGAAGATACGCAGTTAACCAGAGATGGACACACCTGAGGAGAGATACATAATGAGCGGTGTGGCCAGTGTGGTTGACTCGGATGGACGGCGCCTGACGCGTGGCTCTGACTTGTGATTGGTCAATAAAGCCTGTTCTGTTGTATCAGTCTTCTTCATACTAGGGCTCGGGTATTCTACACTCCTGAATTGCTCAGCGCTGATGTCGAATACTCGACAAATCAGGGTTGAAGCCAAGATACCATTGAGGGGACACAAGCAGTTAGCAATCGTATCTGCTTCCATGGACGAAGTGAAATTACATGTTATCTTGAAACCGATGCTGGCAAAGGAATAAAACTGGCAAATAAGGAAACTTGCCACCTCGCTACATGGCCTGTTCTGGACGGTTTATCTAAAGGACATTCGTGTGGAAATTGATTCGTCGAGACATAAGGCTACGCCCAGTGTCCCAGATAGAATTAGAAACGCGGAACTGTGAGGAGATCAAATCAGGTTATATCGTTTTGATGCTATTTCTGACAGCCTCCATCACTCACGTTGCCCTGGTATACGTTTGTGATGAGATATAGCGCTGTTATCTGCGTGGTATCAGAGAGCTAATACAGATTCTTCAGGAAACCTGTTTCATTTGTCGATTTTATAGAATGCAAAACTTCTCTGGTAATGGTAGACTTCAATAGATACTTTGTGTTCCCAACTGTCTCATTTCTCATCAATTTCCATACTAGTATGACTGAACTAGTTCCAGATTTCAAAGCGAAAATTTGTCTTAAATTGACCAATTCTTAATGCTCAATTTGTGTTGAGTTAGACCGTTTTATGTCCTTATTTATAGTAGTGACCTGCCTCAAGTGAGCAAATTCACATGTTCATTTATCGCAAATGGTGTGTTTGAGAGAGAGTTATAAAAAACACCATCGAAACTGCAATATACGGTGCGTCATACCTCGACGTTTCACAAATTGCAAAATTAGTGATAGTCAGTGTGTTATTCAACGCTAACATGATCCAGGATGCTGCAAAAAATGTTGCCTGATCAAAAACAATTTTTCTCCAAGTGTTTGCTTTCGCGATAGTTTAGAGGTTCTCAAACTGA